GACACCTGTTTTTTGGAGGGAGGGACAAAGTCTCATCTGCTGCCCCGGTAGAGTGCAGTGGTATCATCACAGCTCACGGTAACCTCAAACTCCTGGGCTCAGGCAATCCTCCTGCTCCTGCCTTGACCTCCTGAGTAGCGGACAGATACCTGTCAGCTAACTTGAACCCCTGAGCTCAAGCATAAGCCACTGCACCCAGCCAATTTCAATGAGGATTTCACCAATTAAAAAAATCCCAGGCCAGAGGCAGCGCCTGTGGCTCACTTAATAGGGCGCTGGCCCCATATACTGAGGGGTGGTGGGTTCGAACCTGGCCCCAGCCAAACTGCAACAAAAAATAGCCGGGTGTTGTGGCGGGTGCCTGTAGTCCCAGTTACTCGGGAGGCTGAAGCAAGAGAATTGCCTAAGCCCAGGAGTTAGAGGTTTCTGTGAGCTGTGTGACGCCACAGTACTGTACCGAGGGTGATAAAGTAAGACTCTGTCTCTAAAAATAAAGAAAAAAAGAAAATCTCAGGCCAGATGCAGAGGCCCACGCCTGTAATCCCAGCACTTTGGGAGGCTGAGAGGAGGGTGCTTGGGCCCAGGAGTTTGGAGTTGCAGTGAAAGCTATGACAGCACCACTGCCCTCCAGCCCAGGCAGCAGAGTGAGAGTGTGTCTCAAAAAACCCAAAACACAACAACAACAACAACAAAAACCCGAAAGGTTACCAATGTCCTAAAGTTGACAAATCAAATAATCCGATAACCTTGTTATTTCTCTTCCTCTTTCTGCACATTCTAATTTTAACAGCAGCTCTGTGTTGAAGCTCCATCTTAAGCTCCCTTTGCCATTGACTTCTGAGATCCTGTAACACCACGGTTTGTGTGTTTACCCTACAAACACCCCTTCCTATTCAGGAGGAGCCTCTAGCCTTCAGGTTCAGTACTGTGCTAGAACTAGCTCCTCTCTGCCTGTCCTGGCGTGTTGTACTTACTTTCCCTCATCACACCCAAACTGAACAGGAATAGTCCCCAAAGTTCTTTCCTCAGTTCTTTCTTTCCGCCCCTGCCTTTTCTCCGTGGGAGGTTCCTTCCCTTCTTGACTTCACTGCTGTCCCCAGGCGGCATCCACACCCCTCGCACACTGCACCCATCAGTCAGTCGGAATCTGTCCTCTCCCCCTCGGCCCGTTCCTGCTTCTGACTTTGCTCTCACAGTTCTCCCGGTGCCTGAGGCTTGATTTCTGGATGTATTTGGTGTGTTTGTCCCTCCTGTCCAACGCCTCAAGCCAGTTGTAAAATTCTTTATCTTTGGACATGCATTTCTCTTTGCAATCTCTCCGACTCAGGCCTGGCTCGTGCCCTCTCCTCCCCCCTAGACTCTGCCCCAGGCACCTGCAGCCATCATCAGATTAATCTTGAGGAAGCTCTGCTATGCCTGTGTCCCTCACAGGCTCAGAAACCTTCGTGGCGACCCACAGTTTACATAAGGGTGTTCTATTTACCTTTATATTTGGAATTTCTAAATTGATTTTTGTTGCCTTTTCTGATAAACCCAGTAGGCAAGTACAGAGTGTGGAGAAAAGGGAAAATGACCTTTCATATCATCAGTTGAAACTGTTTTTCAGTAAGAACTGATAAAGGGCAAAGAGTCTGAGTTGGATTCACTTTTTTAAAACTGTGACTAGAAACAAGGCAGAAAGGCCCATGTTAGTGGCATTAATTGTGGAAATTGTATCCCCAGGGAAATGCAAAGGCCTTGCGGTCTCCCAGGAGATCTGTGCCCCAGCAGAGCTGGGGACCCTGAGCCGTCAGAGACCGCCGGTCCCCTCTCTGAGGCTCATCCAGGGAGTTCGTCTGCCAGCCTGTGCTCCCTCTTAGAGCACAGTCAGCAGTGCGAAGGCCCCTCCTGTCACATCCACTCCGCCACAAGTAATTCAGTTCACGCCTCCCTTCAGACTATTCCCACCAGCAGATGACCAGCTGGAAACCAGCCAATTGGAAACACACCCAGTTTTAGATGCAATAAAAGGAATCCAAGAAAAAGAAAGTAAGAGAAAAATGCTCAGAATGTAAAATAACATCCCCATCTCCTGATGTCCTCGCAGAGTCTCCTCCCCGGAAGGTCTGTCTCATGTCACGTGAGCATAGGTGGCGTCTTCAGTGAGCAACAGAACGGGCGTCTGACACTGTCTTGTAAGACGGAGGCACAGGCTGCCTGGCTCCTGCACTGGCGCCAGGTGGGGGGGTGTGGGGGGGTGACACATCGGGAGGCAGAAGAGCTTCAGGATCAGCTACACCGGGGCTGGCATTCGGCCTCCCTCTGTTATTAGCTGTGAGGCCTCCACAAGGCCACAGGACTGCCCTGTGCCTCCCTCCGCGCCTCCAACTTTAAAGTGTAGTTCTTCATAATGTGCAGAGTGCAGTGTGGGACAAATGAAATGGAGAGGTTGAGGAAACGCAGCGATGCTTTGTATCAGGACTGTGTTCAAAAGGACATTCCTGTTATTGTGTTTTCACACTAAAAACGCATCCAGTCAACATGGCCCTGGTGAAGGACTCAACTACAACTTGAACTTCACCTGAGAATTGGAAACAATGTAACCTAAACATCCCTACCCTCATATTAATATGTAATAAAGAAGGAAAAAAAACCACTTCTAGTATAAACAGCAAATTAATGAAGCGAGGACCTGCCATTCACCTGACAGGGCTCTCCTCTTGCTGTTCCCTCTGTCATGGTCTCTGCTGTGCAGTGTCTTTGGACTCCTTGAGCTTTCTGCAGCTTTATCTTTATGAACAGAACTCCTCGATGCGCACCAAGTTCAGGGGAGTAGTTAGCCCCCTGTGTGCCTGACTTCTGGTGGGAGGCCCGCAAGGAGTCAGAGTTGCCTTTTTGTTATAGGCAGAGGCAGATCAACTGAAAAGCAGAATTGTCTAGCTTTCTGAGTTTTCTGTTTTCTCTCTCCTTCATCTAAAACGTACAGTTATCCTGGTTAGGGATCCTGGTTAGGGTGCCAACTAAACTCTGGGAAGATTATCAGAGCAGCGACGTGAGAGGAAACACCTTTCAGCGTCAGCCCCTGCGGCTGCAGCTCCTTAAGGTTGGAGCCTCAGCTGAAGGTGACCATAATTGGATGGAAAATAAGAGACCCAGAGCATCGCACAGTTTCTCAGCATAAAGCACAAGCCGATTCTTATTTTCTGTATAAACCAAATGTCTGTGTGGGCGAAGGCCTTGATGGATGGATGTGTTTAATGCTACCCTTGATCCTGGACAAGTGAGAGAAGAAGAGAGAGAAAGAGGCTTTGGAGTCGGCTAATCGTCTTCTCTCTGCCGCAAAAGGAGGGCGCGAGCTCGGAGGGGCTGTGAGCGTTGCTTTGCGTGGGGGATGAAGACAATGAATATTTGATGCAGGTAAATATAAGCCTTTTAGTGATTTTCTGTTGCTCAAAATTAAGGCATGAATAATGCTCAAGGAATTGTATTGTGTTCTTAGGCCAGGGTTTCTGTAGGTGGACGTACACCATCCCAGGGAAAGAATGTGCTGGGGCCACCTATAAACACCTGTGTCGCCACCCGAACGTGTAATAAAGGAGCATTTTGGCTACTGGAGAACAGGACTAAAAACACATGTTTTTCTGAGGATGAGAGAAAAGAAAGGAGAAAGGTCCAATGTGTTATGAGGACGACCCGGCTCTACCTCGG